GGCCCTTTCTGGAGAACGATTCGATTCTTATGAAGATATCAAAAAATGGATTGATGAATGGATCGCTTCAAAAGAACCAAATTTTTTCATTCGAGGAATCCGTTTATTACCAGAAAAGTGGGAGAAAATTGTCGCTTCCGAAGGAGCATACTTTGAATAAAAACTCACTTATATAGATTTGTTTAAATAAACACAACTTTTTCTTTTCAAAAAGGGCGGAAACTTATTCCCATACCCAATATAATTTCTTAATTACTCTTAGGGCTAGTTCTTCCATCTTTAGATAAACTATGTAGTAATTTACTTATTGGATAAACAAAAGAGTAAAAGAGTGAAACATAAGAGAGTAAGACAGTGAACTGAAGTTTACCGAAAGGTGGAACAATCTAGCCTTAATCAATTAAATTTTAATAAGAATGCGAATTCCATAAAGCCCTATGTCCACGGTGCTAGAACTCTGTCCGAATTCTTGTATCGAGAAATGTGTAGCCAATCAACTAGCTGTTTTTCCGTAAAAACTACATGTTGATTGGCTACACATTCTTAGATCCAAGAACTCGGACAGAGTTCTAATACCATGGACACAGGTTATGGATGTTGATCTTTAATATAATAGTATCTCATCAGTGATATAAGAAATAAGCGCATTCATCTCATACATCTGAAAAATATATTAATAAAAGTGTATTTAATAATAAATTAAAAAAGATCAAAGTTAAAATTAAGTATAAATATATTAAGTATAAATCAATTTCCACCCTATCCCCCCCGATTTCTTATATTCACTAAAGCTAGATGGGTCGCAGAGTTTACTATTCTAAAAAGTGAGTTGTAATTCACAAACGTTCAAAAAATTTGGAAGACCCTGGTTTTTTATCTTTTTTTGTACATAAATTATTTTTTAAACGTACATATAGAAATTTCTTAATTCCTTCAGACTTAATTTTACTGAAAGGTTAAAAAAAATTTGTATCTTTAAAAATGTAAAATATACTTATACTATACAGTATACAGTATAGAGATAAGTATACTCTGATTTTAGTAACAATGCTTGTATTCAGCAGAACACAACAGTTTTGCAACCGTTTTATGATTCTCTGCTGAGATAGGACCATTCCTCTTGATCTAAAAGCATAACCCAATCAGTGCGAAGAAAACTTTCAATAGTTGCCAAATAAACGTTCTGCTGAACGCAGCCTATGTTTCGTTCGTTTGTAACATACATACAGAGTGTCCCAAAAAGGTCGGGACACCTGAATATCTCGGAAAATATAAGTTTTGCAGAAAAATATTTCAGACAAAAGTTGTAGAGTTCAAAAATCTATTTACTGATCTTATCAGTTTGACCTTAGGTGGCGTCGCCAAGGTCAGATCAAGGTTATATCGATTTTTTTTAAATGGTACACCTACTCGTAATTCCAAAATCTAATAGCTAGAGTCAAGAGCTTTCTAAAACGCTATAAGAAAATATTTGTTCATTAAATACTTTTTGAGTTTTGATGCTTGAAAGTTACAGTACCGTCGGTATTAGCATTACCCAAGGTGTCCTACCGACGGCTAAAACTTTGCACTTCAAAAGTCATTTCCCCAGTAGCACAGAACATTGGCTATACATTGGCTAAGATTGGCTAAATATTGGTTATATTGGGGATACATTGGCCAAGATTTCCCAATATAATGCCAATATTGGCTATATAACAAATGTCAATGTATAGCCAATATTGCATATTAATCATTATCCAATATTGGCTATACATTGGCGATACATTGGCTAATATTTCCCAATGCAATACCAATATTGGCTATATAATAGATGCCAATGTATAGCCAATATTACATATCAGTTGTTACACAATATTGGCTATATAATAAATGTCAATGTACAGCCAATATTGCATATCAATCATTATCCAATATTGGCTCTACATTGGCGATACATTGGCCAATATTTCCCAATGCAATGCCAATATTGGTTATATAATAGATGCCAATGTATAGTCAATATTGCATGTCAGTCGTTACATAATATTGTCTTTATTTATTATTTATTATTTATTTATTTATCTTTATTATTGGATATATATTGTGGATAGATTGTTTGTATCATATATGTGCAATTAACTAATACATTTATTAATCGTAGGTGCAGCACACAACGCAGAAGACTCATAGTCCAAAGGTCCAAGGTTCGAATCCTGTAGGTAAGTGAATTTTCACTCAATTATTTCTAATATTAATTATACATTATTTCAGGAATATTAGTGAATATTGAAAAACCATGTATAGCCAATGTAAAACATTGGGTAAGAATTGAATCCCCAATATTGACTAAATATGACTAGGCGTCTACTTTACAATATTGGACCAATATTGGAGATTAAATTTTTGCCCGATATTGACGAAATATTGAAAAAAACAATGTATAGCCAATGTAAAACATCGGGTAAAAATTGAATCCCCAATATTGGTCTAATATTGTTGAACCAATATTGGCTAAATATGACTACTCGTCTACTTTACAATATTGGACCAATATTGGTGATTAAATTTTTGCCCAATATTGGCGAAATATTGGAAAAATAACGCATAGCCAATGTAAAACATTGGGTAAAAATTGAATCCCCAATATTGGTCCAATATTGTTGAAACAATATTGGTCCAATATTGTTGAACCAATATTGGCTAAATATGACTAGGCGTCTACTTTACAATATTGGACCAATATTGGTTATCTAATATTTTAATATTGGCTGTACATTCGTTTCCCAATATTGCGCCAATAATTTGTGTTACTAGGGTTTTATGTAAAATTCATTTTTATGTAAAAATGAAAATAAAAAAGAAACGATCTCCAAAGATCTTGATCTTAACGAATGCTATCCATAACATGATCCTAAACATTTAAGAAATTTTAGCCATCGGTCGGACACCTTGCGTAATACTAATGCCGGCGGTACCGTAACTTTCAATTTATAACTCAAAAAATACTCAATGAAAAAAATATTTTCTTATAGCGTTTTGGGAAGCTCTCGACACCAGCTATTAGATCCTGTAATCAAAAGAATATAGAATATTCCATTTAAAAAAATCAATGTGACCTTGACCTGACCTTGCAACGCCACCTAAAGTCAAACTGATAAGATCAGTAAATAGATCTTTTTGAACCTTACAACTTTTGTTTAAAACACTTTTCTGTGAAACTTATATTTTCCGAGTTATTCAGGTGTCCCAATCTTTTTGGAACACCCTGTACATCATATATATGTAATATGTAATCTGTATGTCTGTAACTTGTTATAACATGTAATTATATTTCTATTAAATTAATATTAACACATTGACCGCCGACCAATTTTTATAGATGTACCACAGAAGCAGCCGAAGCTTGAAACTATCCAGTGTGGAAATTATTATTTTTTATGCAATTTGAGTATCTTAATGAGTTATTTTTTATTATATTCATATTTAAATAATTCATATCAAACAATTAATATTTTTCAATATTTTGTCTAATGTTTCCAACATACACATTATTAGTACGTACATCAGATCTCAGGTGATATCGATAGAATAATTTCCACGAAAATGTCTTACTAACTGTGCATCTTATTTCACAGTTAGTACTATACAAATAAGGTACAGACACACACGCGCGCGCACATATATACAGGGTATATCAGGACATAACGCCCACCAATCACAGTGCTATTCCTAATAAAAAGCTAAGTCGAAAAGTCCTCTGCCATTTTGCAATTTTTGCAATAGTTAACGAGAAATTAATTTCTAAAGATTGTCGAATAAACGGATGAAATCGATGTACAAGACAATTTTAAGATATCTTTCAGTGTTCTTTGTAAAACATTTTGAAAATATTTCTTAAAGAAAGATTAACAATAAATACGTTGATGTAAAAAGGAAATGTCAATGTGAGCTGACACCAGTTCTTCATGTGTAATCCAATGTATACATTAAAAATGTGGTACAGACGTTTCAGTTCTAGTATTGGGTCCTCTTCAGTGTAAAAATATATGTTTAGAATAAATCCATGATGTCAAATTAAATATAAGTAAATCATTTGATCGTCAAATCATCATTAAAACAATTGTCACTATTGAAATCTTCAAATGTCGTCTGTTATATTTTACTGAATATACAAACAGTACATGTTCAAAAAATTCCAGTTGTAATAAGCTTAACAATGGTCTGTTACGATAAGGTGAATACAGAGAGAGAGATATCATTGTTACCTTTTTATATCAACATATTTATTGTTAATTTATTTGGAGAGCTTTATATTGTATTTCAAATTCTATTGTTAAAAAAAGATTTTTTAAATTGTCTTGTATGTCAATTTTGGACATTTTGTTCAGTTGTAACTAAAAAACATATTGCGAAAATTGAAAAATGATAGAGGACTTATCATTTTTCAATTTTCGCAATATTTTTTTAGTTATAACTGAACAAAATGTCTAAAATCGACATATAAGACAACTTTAAAAATCTTTCTTTAACAATACATATATACATATATATATATATATATATATAATCGCAAATATACTTTAACCAGATAAAGGAAATCAATAATAGACTTACCTTTTTTAACAAAAGCCTCGATAAACTCTATGTTTAAGAGATCGCTGACATGCAGCTTATTTATTCGATAATAATTTGTATCCTTTGATAGACAATTGTGTAAATTTTGAGGAACGGTAACTGTATTAGGTAGTACCACAGATATCTGACGCATAAAAACCAAAAATTGTCAAAATGTATTTTGAGAACTTGCTGAATTTTGGAAGAAGTTATTAGCTTACTGAATGATTAAAATAATGACTCTTCACTAATGCGATTGCATTCTTCATCACATCCAGATGTAACGTGGCGGTGTAATGTGGTAGTGGTTTCAAATTCCATGTTTCCGGGCATAACATGTTTTCCTTTCTTCTTTCTAAATTTTTGCTTTTATTAGAAGAAAGCATTACCATTAACACTTAACACACATGATTCGGTCATTCGTGTTCCTTTTCTTTAAAACATTTGGTTAAATAATGATCTCTATCTCTTTTTTATAATCATTATTTGATGAATCAATTAATATACATCTTTTCATAAAATCTAAAAATGTTAAAATATATATATAAGATTTACTTAGGCCCAGTTCCACAACTGACGGTTAACTCATAACCGAAGTTCAACTTATTCATTGTCTCTTTCCAATTTTAGAATTGGAAAAAGATGAGAAACAAGTTGAACCTCGGTTAAGAGTTAAGCATGAGTTGTAAAACTGGGCCTTAATAATCCATATATACTTGTAAAAATGATGAAAATTAACTCGGAACACGAATGATCCACTATGTGTAGTAAAGAATACACCATCGTATGTCTTATGGATTAAATTCAATGATATTTAACTTATTATATGCACTTCCATTCTCTGAAAGAAGCAACATTACAATGCATTATTTTGTTTAGATTTTGAATACTTGAGTTTATCACAGTGGAATGTTTTTTCCTTTAAAATTCCTAATAAAATATATAATATATAATCGGGAACCAAATTCAAATTTTTCGTTTGACAGACGACTGTTTCACATTAAACTAATCGTTCACCATTAATTAATCGTTTCGGACAGAGCGTATTAACGATAATAAGTGATCAGGATAAACTCACACAAAAAAATCCAGCTTCCGATATCCATGTGGTCGACTTGTGTATATACTTAACCTAACCTAAACCTAAACTTAAACTTGTATTCTATCAATTATTAAGACTTACAATAAGTACCACCACAAGAGCCTCGGTAGCGCAGTAGGCAGCGCGTAAGTCTCATAATCTTAAGGTCGTGAGTTCGATCCTCACCCGGGGCAAATTTTTTTTGAGTTTATAAAAAAAATTACATTACAATATTAGTAAATAAAGCATTTTATTATATATCATAGTAAAATTTATAATTAATTGTATAATATAATTATCAGGACTGAATAAAATGCCTTTCAAATTTCATTTAAAATATCAATTGTAAAATACTTTAAAAAACTGTATGTAAAATGCGAAATGCTAAATAAGTGTTTCAAATCCGTTTTAAATGTATGTACAATGGATAAATAGGTATTTTAAATGGTTTTCAAATGCGAAATCATTTATCATGGTATACCTACATTTTTTAAAAGTATTTTACGTTTAAAATCCATTTTCAACGGAATTCGAAGTCCAGGGGATCGATTCTGTATCTTGAAACGAGGTGAAAATTACAAAAGTGAGTGAATTTACTAGAATACTGATAATTTCATTGGCCAATACCTAGTAAATTTGCTCACTTTTGTAATTTTCACCTTGAAGATACAGAATCGACCCCCTGACTACAGTTTTAAGCGGGGAGCACAGACTCTTGCATAACACATAACACATAATGCATAAGAATATGTACCAATCAAAGTTCTCCGTTTCTTTCCCTTCCAATGTAATAGAGAACTCTGGTTGGTTCAATTTCTTATGCCTCATGTGTTATGCGTTATGCAAGAGTCTGTGCTCCCCGCTTTAGATATAAATAAAGTATTTCTGACGGGAATATTTTAAATGTTTTAATATTATAGGAAAGGCCCCTATTGGCTACCTAGCCAACACTGGACATCCAGATTTGAGCGGGGAGCACAGACTCTTGCATAACGCATAAAGGTAAATTTTCACGAGCTGCTCTAACCGGCTATTTTAGCGACAAAAAGGATCACGTGATCAAAATGGACATTTGATGTTCGTCAATTTTGACTACATAATTCTTTTTGTCGCTGAAACAGCCGGTTTGAGCAGCCCGTGAAAATTTACCTTAACACGTAATGCATAAGAATATGTACCAATCAAAGTTCTCCGTTTCTTTCCCTTCCATGTAATAGAGAACTCTGGTTGGTTCAATTTTTTATGCCTCATGTGTTATGCGTTATGCAAGAGTCTGTGCTCCCCGCTTTGGTTTCAATCTGATAGCCCTTCTACAATAAGCCGCAAGTCAGAAGTTCTAAGCGATCTTAAATCATAATCGGTGAAGTTGGCCAATAGCCAACTGGAACGACTTGATTAATAGCGTTTTCGGCTCGATTGGGTTTGCACCAACCTTGGTTGGATTAATCTTTCCTATTAGTTGACGTCACCCGCTCTACCAATAGGAGAGCACAAAACGCCATTAATCCAACCCAGGTTGGTGCAAACCCGGTCGGGCCGAAAACGCTATAAGACTGATTAAGACATCTGACGTTCTGACTTGCGGCTTATTGTAGAAGGCCCATGAGAGGCCAGACACAAGCTTTTGCATAACGCATAACACATAGTGCATAAGCGAATCAACTAATCAGAAGCTTTCCTTTCCTCTCATTCCATGGAAAAGAAGAATTTCGATTGGTTGATTCCCTTATGCACTATGCATTATGCGTTATGCAAGAGTCTGTGCTGCGGCCATGAGGCTCTATTCTTGAAAAGAAACGTATACGAAAGTCTAGGGAAATACTATAGTATACGTGTCGTATACAGTAGCATTTCCTAGACTTTTGTAAACGTTTCTTTTCAAGAATAGAGCCTCTGGTCCAAACAAACGTCCATGGACTTAGTACGATCAATGTTTTGAAAACGTACAAAGTATGTTTACATTTCGACATTTTAAAAATGTTCATCTCATGGAAAAAATTTTCTAATAGCGTTTTCGGCCCGGCCAGGTTTGCACCAACCTGAGTTGGATTAATAGCGTTTTGTGCTCTCCTATTGGTAGAGCGGGTGACGTCAACCAATAGGAAAGATTAATCCAACCCAGGTTGGTGCAAACCCGATCGGGCCGAAAACGCTATAAATCTGCTCACGACGTGTTGCTTTCGTTGGCAAGAAAAAATTTTTTTTAAATTGCGCGAGTTTTACTTTTGTCACCTCCGGTAATAAAAATTTATCATATTCAAGCTTAGTTCAGACAGCACGCAGCAAGCGGCAAGCGTAGAGCAGTTGCTGCTTGCAGTGATAAAAGTGCATTCACATGCAAGCGTCAAGCGCCAAGCAGCGGAAGCAACAACCAATCAGCGAGTTGATAGGTGCAGTGGCGTCAACTATAAAATGAAATATTTTCTACTACGCCACTGCTGACGCGTCGCCCAGTTGTATTTTGATAAAAACAGAGAATGGATTGAGCGATCCGTATCTAAGTATAGTGTATCAAATGTGATCGACAAAATGAGAGAGAGAGAGAGAGAAAGAGAGAGAGAGAGAGACGGCCAATCTCCTTCTCATTCTCTCTCCCATTACACCATTGAATGGAAAGAGATAGAAATGACCGTCTGCCACGGTCCCTCTATCTCATCCCTATTGACCATTTTGACACACGGATCGCGCAGTCCATTCTCTATGCTTTGGATTTTGATGCTACCAGCAGCAAGCATGCTGCAACGATTAGGTTAGGTTTAATAAAGGTGCATTCACATTCAAGCGTCAAGCGTCAAGCAGTGGAAGCAGCAACCAATCATTAGGTAATTTTTGCAGTGGCGCAAAAAATATTTTTTACATCACTGACCATGGGTGTGTTTCCATTTGCTGATTTCCAGTATAGTATCCACTGAACTCTATACTGGAATGGGCATCTAGGAAAATTCGTGGCCGCGACTGATCAGTCGCCATCTTGGCTCGATCAGATGCCTGAGCAAATCAGAAGCTTTCAGGTGCTCATGCGCACTTACGTTTAGTGTTTTTTAGTAAAACGCAAATTGTTTATATATGTTCTGTGCGCAAATGTCAGCAAGACTGTTGTGTGTGAGGTTATATTTGAAGAATTATAAAATCGCGTGACTGTCTACAAAGCATCAACATGAAGTGCTGTGTGCCTGGGTGTAGGCAGAAAAGTAAAAAAGGCGGCCTTTCATTTCATAGGTAACAAGTTTTGTATTAAATATTAATTCCTGCATATTGTGTTAACGATGTAGGATATGAAGTGTTATTTTATTGAATGTATTAATAAAATTGAAGTGACATTTTTGTTTATATACCATTCATGTCCATATAGATTTCCATACATCGATCAATACATCGATCGCAACCATGGTGGAAGGGATAGCACTATCCCTTCCACCATGATCGCAACGCGCGCGCGAACGCTTCTGATTTGCTCAGGCATCTGATCGAGCCAAGATGGCGACTGATCAGTCGCGGCCATGATTTTCTATGCATCACAGCGGAGATGCCCATTCCAGTATAGAGTTCAGTGATAGTATCCAGTAACCGCCATACTGTATTACTGGGAGAAGCGTTTCCTTTCTCTAGTAAAAAGATCCAGTAATATCATAAAAGTTCTTGTAGACCACTCGAGCGGATCGGACGTGTTCCCTCTCATCTCGGGTGTTGCGTCACCTCGACTATATTTTTGAAAAGCGTTGCCGGCTTGGACTGTGCCATAGTATTTCATAGCGTTTTCGATTGGGGTGCACTGGCTGCATTCAGTGTCAAGAGCCTGTTCGATTGGCAGTGCCAATGCGCACTTGGCTAGTGTCACGTGTTCATTTGATCGCATGACATTCGCGTAGTGCGCACTCAGTGCGCACTAAGTGGCACGAGATATTTTGACGGTGCCAGTTCAGTGCACGTTTTATCACAGTTAAGGATATACATAGGGACAAGCAAATCTGCGCAGTTGAATTGAAAACGGAGTCTTGTCCCTACTCTTAATATCTTTTACTGTAGTTTTGTATCATTTTGTTGAACATTGCTACAAAGCGAACAAAAATGAGTGTGGATTTAATGAGTGTAGCACTTCAGCTTTAGCTCTGAAAATCTTGGCATATTCTTTTGAACTTGCACTATTCAGTGCAACCCATGGAACTCGTCCAGTGTTGGTGTGAATTGAGTGCGCACTGGTGCGCACTAACTTTTGCCCAATCGAAAACGCTATCAATTTCGATAGTCCCTTTATCCGTCTTGGCACGCGGCCGTGCGGCGTGGAAGCGCCGTAGCCGCAGGCGTCCAGTGTTTGAAGGGGCGCCTCACCATTTTTATTGCATCATCCATTACTCGCCCGGTTCGAAGTGGCCGGTACATAGCACTCTCACTTACGATTACCCCATTTTGAAAAGCGTTGCCGGCTTGGACTGTGCCTTTACACGACTGGCCAAGTTTACCTCGTTATAAAGAGGACCAGGGCCAATGAAAGGTTGAAGAAGAAGAAGAAGTAAAATCATAACCTAAATTCGTACGTGCTTCCACGTGCTTCAGAGAATCGTTGGTAATTATACAGTTTAGCCGCTCACCTCAAAAATCGATGAACATAGGCTCATTCGGCGCGTTTTTGCTTAAAACGAAAGAATCTGGCAGAAATAAGCGTCGCTCTGCCCCGCGAACCGAGTTATTAAGCGTTAAAGTTGACGATTTCAGGTTAGGAAATCTGTCATACCGACGTTACGTTGCGACTGAAATATGCTCTGTGGTCATATGCGCATGCTCTGTGATCACATGCGCATGCGTTGTACGTACTTTTCGGTAAGAGTGCACGAAATTTAAAGTCATAACCAAAGACATGGTGAATGGACTGCGTGATCCATGTATAACTACAGTAAGTGGTATAGGATATGTTGGTCGAGGAAAATGAGAGAGGGACGTAGGTTGCGGCCAATCTCCCTCTTTTTCTAAGATTGTGATTGGTTCCTCCTTCGTCGCGTAGGAACGTATCGTGGCCATCAATCACCC